TTAAAAATGGCGGCTCCCCGCTTATGCAAATGAAGCCCGGGAAATTCAAATCCCGGGCTTCATTTGCAAGTGCGGTATGCCTACATTACCCTCCTAGTTCGAACTAGCGGGGTAGTGTAGACATACCCTGATCCCTCAGTGTGTCTGATCTCTCTCCTGACCATCATCTCCTCTCCTTCAGCAGTGCTCATGTGCTCCTCTCTGACTCTGCAATGGACTAACTTGTGCAACTGTGGGCCAGTCACTTAACCTTTCTGTGCCTCAGTGACTACATCTACCAACTGGGGATAATAAAACATCTCTCCCTCCACAGATATTCTGAGGCTCTGTTCATGTTTGGAAATACATTGAGATCCTTGCTTTAGCAGTGCAAAGTATTATTATTATTTAGGACTGATCCCTTCTCCCTAGTGACATCAGATAATATCACAGGCTGTGAGGGGTGCAATGAAGGGATAACTCTAAAGTGGGGTGATGGAAACACGCGTATGTTGTCTGGTGGAAACTTGTTTGGTGTTAGTAGCTGCAATGCCACTGAATGCAAAAGGCCCTAGAGCCGTGCTGTAGACTGGCTGACAGAGCAATTCCAGATGCTTCCCAGAGTTAATATACTGTCACAGCAGTGAAGCCTATTAGTATTCAAGTCATGATATGTCTCCAGTTTGAAGCCTAGTGTAGGAATCTCTTAGTGCATATAGGAGGAAGGTTTGGAGGGTTTTCTGACTCAGAACCAATCTCTCTATCAGTGAAAGTTGCTGTCTCAGGGTATGTCTACACTACCACCCTAGTTTGAACTAGGGTGGATAATGTAGTCAATCGAAGTTGCAAATGAAGCCTGGGATTTAAATATCCCGGGCTTCATTTGTATCTTGCCGAGCGCCGCCATTTTTAAATCCCTGGTAGTTCGGACTCCGTGCCCACGGCTACACGCGGCACGGAGTAGGTAGTTCGAATTAGGCTTTCTAATTCAAACTACTGTTACTCTGAGGTGTAACGGTAGTTCGAATTAGAAAGCCTAATTCGAACTACCTACTCCATGCCGCGTGTAGCCACGGGCACGGAGTCCGAACTACCGGGGATTTAAAAATGGCGGCGCCCGGCAAGATGCAAATGAAGCCCGGGATGTTTAAATCCCAGGCTTCATTTGCAACTTCGATTGACTACATTAACCACCCTAGTTTGAACTAGGGTGATAGTGTACACATACCCTCACTTCTTGAAGGTTTTCGTTGGTGTAAATTCAGTGGCCAGGTTCAAATTTGCAGGAAACACCAAATCTGAGGTAGGCGTTGAAGTCACCAAAACAATGGTGGATGGAGTCAAACTGTGCAGGAACTCTCTGCCGTTTAGCACAGCAGAAAGAAAGGCAACTTGATAAGAATAAATGGGCTGCCTATTTTCTTCTCTCATGGATCGTATTGCCCCGTTACTAACCTCTGAGCACCAGAGAGTTCTAGGGCTGGGCTAGGAGTCATTCACAAGAAAACCTCTCTCTCTCTCTCTCTCTCTCTCTCTCTCTAAATTTAGTCCACCTTCTGAAAAATCGCTCATCAGACTTACCGATCTGAAATGCTTGTCAACGTGGTAGCTGTGATAAATCCGTTGCCTGCCTCTCAAGCTTGGAGTAGGAAACCTGTCCCATGAAGAAACATCAGATGGAAGAAAATAGCTATCCTGTTTATCTTGTCTGCTTCCCCTTCCACTGTCAGGACTTATTTTCCATTCATGTCTGACTCTCACCTACCAGTAAGGGAATGTGATTTCAGTGAGAGAGCAAATGCCTGGGGCAGGGCATCTGCTTGTATCTCTTGCTGATTGTTGCCAGTGGAGTTCCAGCAATCAGCACCATGAGACTCACTAACTCAGGCAGGCCATGAAAAGCCCAAAGGAATTATATTCTGCTCAGATATGTTACATTGCACTTGACATTCGAAGGAATTTATGCGCACAACTCCTATTTGTGCCAAGCAGAGTGATAGATAGCCCTGTAGCATGTACCACTGCTGTACTCCTGTCCTTCCTTTAGTCATTTGCACTGACAGGCACAACTATACTCAGAGGCTGTGTCTACACTGGGCCACTTATTCCGGAAAAGCAGCCGCTTTTCCGGAATAACTTGCCAGCTGTCTACACTGGCCGCTTGCTTTTCCGGAAAAGCAATGACGATCTACTGTAAAATTGTCAGTGTTTTTTCCGGAAAAACTATGCTGCTCCCGTTCAGGCAAAAGTCCTTTTCCGGAAAAACTGTTCCGGAAAAGGGCCAGTGTAGACAGCACAGTAGTCTTTTCCGCAAAAAAGCCCCGATCGCAAAAATGACGATCGGGGCTTTTTTCCAGAAAAGCGTGTCTAGATTGGCCACGGACACTTTTCTGGAAAAAGTGCTTTTCCGGAAAAGCATCCTGTCAATGTAGAGGTGCTTTTTTCGGAAATACTTATAATGGAAAACTGTTCTGTTTTAAGCATTTCTGGAATAAGTGGCCAGTGTAGACACAACCAGAAAGAAAACAAGTGCATGTTGGGGAAAGCTTTAAGAAACTGTCAAATAAAAAATAAGGAGGAAAAGAGAGGTGGGAAATATTGCAGACTGAAGCACAGAACGGGTACAGCACCCGTAGGCTGGCTGTGGAGACAATTGAGTTCATGATGTAGCTACTCCCATCAGTCAGGTTCTAAAGGATCATATGAATTCTATGGCAGGGGAGCCCCACTGTGGTGTTATTTCTGTAAAATGTTAGAAAGCATGTGGGAAGCCACTTGAAAAGACTACATAAAAGGAACACCGTTACATTTTCTTTCTGACCTTTGCTTTGATACAGTAGAGATTCCACCATTCTCTAGAGTGCTCATAGCCACCTCTGTCCAATAATGTATCCGATATTTCAATGAACCCCCATATGTAGGGAGATCTGTTGATGAAAAGTGCTTTATAAGAGCAAGGCGCTATAACTCATATGACCTTTTCACAATATCATACCCATTTACTGGTTGGAAAATTGAGGCACACGAAGAGATTATGGCAGAAATACTGGCTCTATTAAAATAAATGGGAGTTTTGCCATGCACTTCAATAGATGCAAGATTTCACTGTAGATGACTGGCTTAAAATCACTCAAGAAGTCAGTGGCACTGCGAGGAACAGAGGCCTGGAAGAGCAAGTCCCTGCCTTCTATGACCTAAGGACACATTGCCTCCCTCGAGGGATTGCCAGGGTAAAGCCGATAAGCAAATTCTCATACATTTAGTCAAGGAAGCAAGAAGAAAACAGTGCTTTTTTTAATGATTTGTCTGAAAATAGCAACGGCAGCACTCTAACCTCTCTGAGCCCAGCAAGAGGGGAGCTGCATGATACAGTAGTGGTGGGAAGAGCATCTGTTTGCTAGAGGAGCGTAGGCAGTTGGACTGTGCTGCACTTCAGTGCTTCTTGAACAGCTGATCCAAAGCTTGCAGCCCAGGTACATCTCTGGGATTATTGACAAGGATGCCTTTTAAATGTGAATTCTGTGGCTTTTGTTGCTAGCATATGTGATGATCAGATGAGACAACCTCGCGTATGTAAAATAGATTGTTGGTGTCAATTTTTTAAACATAATGGGCCAAAATTAGCCCCATAAAACTAGATAAGGCCTGAAAATAGACTGTCAATAGGCTTGGAATTATTAGATTTTTATAACTAAATGTCAGTAAATATTGAACACACACAAGTTGCTGAAAAAAATATTTCCCCTGATAATCCTCTACATTCACAGATAGCCAACATATGAAAAAAGCTGCTTGAGACATTACATTACAGTTTGATTTAAGGATGTTTATATCATTTGTATGTTTGACATTTGATATTGACAGTTTAGGTTTACTGGTTAGAAAGCTTTAACTTTTTGAATTTCATTATCTGCGATCATTAAATAATAATTGTCCGATACCTTCCTATAATTTCCTGTGAAAATGGATGAAAAAACTTTAAAAAATGTTTAAAAGTAGACATCCATATTATTCCTCAAAATTATTTTAAAAAGTACAACTTGAATTCTGGCAAGGCTAAATATTGTTAATTAGAAAAAAGAAATGCACCTTGGAGCAGCTGGATACGGATTATAATTATCCAGAACCCAGCCGTCTTTGTGGTTTACCTTGTTGAAAAGTAAGTAAGAAGCTAGACATTCCTGCCATGCAGAAATATACTAGTTTGGGTTCAAAACACAGTTTCTTGTATGTATGGCTTTTAAGACTTGGTCGGGGTGCTCCCCCGAGCCGGACCAGAGATAACAAGTATATGTAAAATAAACTGGCATGCGTTAGGCAAGTGTTGGTAAGAAGGAGATGTGGGAAGCTCATATGTTAGGGTCAGGAATATACAGTGGAGAGGAGAGTGATGTCTCCAGTTCCCTTCTTATCTCAATTCCCTAGAGCTCTACACAACCTGCAGCATGTTGCCTACTCTTTTTCAGCTTGTCAGTGAATATAGCACCACTTTGCCTCTTGTCTCCCATGTGTCTCTCTGCTCTTCCTGCTTCCCACATCAGGTTATGACTTTGCAGCCGTCTTGGAGTGGTTTGCAGAGCGGGTTGACCGCATTATTCTCCTCTTCGATGCCCACAAGCTGGACATCTCAGACGAGTTCTCCGAGGTCATCAAGGCGCTGAAGAACCACGAGGACAAGATGAGGGTGGTACTCAACAAGGCCGACCAAATTGAGACCCAGCAGCTGATGCGGGTTTACGGAGCCCTCATGTGGTCCCTGGGGAAGATCGTGAACACGCCTGAGGTGATCAGGGTCTACATTGGATCCTTCTGGTCCCATCCGCTGCTGATCCCTGACAACCGCAAGCTCTTTGAGGCTGAAGAACAGGACTTGTTCAGAGATATTCAGAGCTTGCCCCGCAATGCAGCCCTGAGGAAGCTGAACGATCTCATCAAGCGTGCACGGCTGGCCAAGGTGGGTCTTGCCAGAGAAACTCAGGCTTGGTTTTATAAAGTTTGCAATTTCAGCTCACTGGGTCACTGCTATTGTCCATCATATATATGGAGAGAGGGGGCACATAAGAACATAAGAATGGCTGGATTGGGTCAGACCAAAGGTCCATCTAGTCCAGTATCTTGTCTGCCGACAGTGGCCAATGCCAGATGCCTTAGAGGGAGGATCACAACAAGTAATCCTCACATGATCCTCATGATCCTTCCCCTCTCACTCATCTCCAGAGTAACAGAGGCTAGGGACACCATTCCTACCCATCCTGGCACACAGGCATATTGTGTATATGAAAAACAAATGTCCCATCAGGGCCTCACCTTTGTTGCTGTTCCCAGTGATGCTTCTATAAAGATGGGTTTGAGAACAGGGTGAAGCAAAAATAATCATATTAGAAAGTATGTCTGCACAAGAAGCAGCAAGCTGTGGGCACCGTCTCTTACAGCCTCTTTTTTAAAATTCACCCCAGATCACCAGACTTAATAATACACACATCGGGCTTGGGCATCTCTGGGCCTTTTGCTTCTATCACAGAGGAAGTCTGACTCAGAGAAGACCCATAAGAACAATGCACACCAGAGAAAGAGATACAGTGCAATTCACTCAAACTGCTAGGTCACCCTTTGAGCTTATTAGCAGCTTGTGGAAATCTTCCTCAAAGTATAGGGGGAAAGCCCCATCCCAGAACTATTTGAATGGGGACAAAAGAATACACTGAATGGCATTGATCTGAACTGGCTGAAAAAGAGTAACCAAATAACACTTCAGGCTTCTCTATCCTATCTGGACCAGCATAACATGATGCATTATTAGGTGAGGAAATAGAAGGACAGCCTCACTCAATTCTGTGGCAAGTCTCAGAGGGGTAGCTGTGTTAGGTGCATCTACACTGCACCGTTATTTCAGAATAAGGACCGTTATTCAGGAAAAACAATACTAGCATCCACACAGCAATTCTGTTATTTCAGAAGAAAATCGAAATAACAGAGGGCTTTTTCCGACGTTGGTAAACCCCATTCCATGAGGAATAACACCTCTTCCAAAAAAGCTATTTTGGAAGAGGGCATGTGTAGACGCTCCACTGTTGCTATGTCAAAATAGTTCCTCCCTGGGGCCATTTTAAGGGTATGTCTAGACCACAGGCTTTTGTCGACAGAAGTTTTGTCGACAGATACTGTCGACAAAGCTTCTGTCGACAAAGAGCGTCTAGACTACAGCCAGTTCTATTGACAAAGCAAGCTGCTTTGTCGACATGGCAGTGTAGATTCAAAGAACAGTTTAGATGCACTAACGCCTTCTGTCGACAGAACTCTGTCGACAAAAGGCGTTATTCCTCGTAAAATGAGGTTTACCAGCGTCGACAAAACTGCTGAGTTCTGTCGACATTATGTCGACAGAACTCAGCGGTAGTGTAGACGCAGGTATAGTTTTGTTGACAAAAGTCCACTTTTGTCGACAAAACCCTGTAATCTAGACAAACCCTAAGTTACTCCTCCTCAGTGCCTCCTGTGGCTCTAAATCGAGATAGCATGTCCACATTAGGGGAACCTGACTCGGACTCATTTTGAGGCTTTCCTGTAGCGTGGACGCTCTATTTTGAAATAAGCTTGCAGTGTAGACGTACCCCTAGTCTGTATCTGCAAAAACAACAAGGAGTCCTGTGGCAGTTGAAAAATTAACACGTTTATTTGGGCATAAGCTTTGGTGGGTAAAAACCACATTGTCAGAGTGACCATGCAGCTGATGAAATAGTTTTGACCCATGAAAGCTTATGCCCACATAAGTCTGTTAGGCTACGTCTAGCCTGCAAGCCTCTTTTGAAAGAGGCTTTTTCTAAAGTATCTTTTGAAAAAGCCTCTTTCGAAAAAGAGCGTCTAGACAACAAGAAGATTTTTCTAGTCTAGATGCTCTTTTTCGAAAAAGCCCTGTTTTCATGCAATAGAGCCATTTTTCGAAAGATGACTTCCGAAAAAAGGCGTTATTCCTCGTAGAATGAGGTTTACTGCCGTCGACAAAACCACCGCGTTCTTTCGATTTTATTGTCAACAGAATGTGGTGGTAGTCTAGACTCAGGTACATTTTTTCGGAAAAAGGCCACTTTTTTCAAAAAACCCTGTAGTCTAGACACACCCTTAGTCTTTAAGGTACTACAAGACTCACTGTCAATACTGTGGGTAAGTTCAGCCTCAGCAACACTGAGACAGATTCTGTCCTTAGTCACATTGATGTAAGTTGACATCAGAGGAATTAGTTACCCTGGGTCTGCAGACTCCTTGTACACCAGATGCTCATTTGATGAGGTCATATTCAAGTAGGCCACACAGAAAATATGAATCTTAAGATTAGACTGTAGCTAGATCCGAAATGCATGGTGTCTGCTAACCTGACTGGCATTACTAGCTGGAAAAATGCTTTGCCTTGAGGGGAGATGTAAAATGAAACAAAACAATTCCCTGTGACAGGTGACTTACAAACACATCTCCCAGCATGCACAGTGCAGTTGTGTCAGATGAATCAGGAAGCACACTTGAGAATGGCATGTGTTGTGCTATAGTGGTAACCAGCAAAAGCAGGCAGGGAGAAAGAGCTCAGTGAAGGGAAAGGGAGAGAGGATGGGGTTTACCCACAAGCTTGGATGCATGGGTACCATCTGCCGGAGGATAACATTCAGATGTACCCATGAATGCTCTTTTTTATCTTCTTTCCCATCTCTTGTTTTGCCCCACAGGTCCATGCCTACATCATTAGCTCTCTGAAGAAGGAAATGCCATCAGTGTTTGGTAAAGACAATAAGAAGAAGGAGCTTGTGAACAATTTGGGGGAGATTTACAGCCGGATCGAACGGGAGCATCAGATCTCACCAGGAGACTTCCCGAATCTCAGGAAGATGCAGGTAAGGATTGGAATAACCAGGCCAGAGCATTGACCAATGAATGCAAGAGCATTGTAGCAGCTGTGAGGAATGGGTGAGAAGCAATGCCTAACTGATGCTGCTACAATTATTGAAATATCTATGTCCAGGCTATATTTGGACATAGATATTTCAACAATGGCAGGTTAATGCCCTCACCAGAGGGAAGACTCCTTCACTTAAGCCTCTGGCACTTACAGTAAATTATTTAGCTCCTTCTGTCTTTTATTTCAGACCTTGGGCTTAGAGCTTTCAGGGCCAGTCTGGCCTCACAAATGCTACTAATATAACACTTATAACATTCTGTATTCAAACTGAGGCTATTATTTTCTCTCTTCTCCCTTGCTTGTTTATTTCTGGCAAAGAAAGACTCCAGTAGAGAAAGAGGATGTGACAAGTATCCCCCTCCGTTTTCAAAGGGACAAGCAAGTTTTCTGTGCTGCACATTTGGGGCCTGAGCCAACAGCCATGTAAGTCAATGGGAGCCTTTCCAATGACTTCAGTGAATGCTGGATCAGGACTTCATATAACGTACACTAACTATGGTACAGAGATGTTCAAACCGTTGTCTGGCTGCAGTCCAGGCTGCAGCTAGTTTCCAGTGGTTGCATTGGGAAGAATATGACCACATCTTTGTGGAGTGCATGGTATCTGCTGTTCATGTACAGAGAAGGAAAATACTCTTAAATCCTTGAGCGCCAGCTGGAGGATCTAGTTCCTTAGTTGCTCAGATATATATTTTATACCACTAGTTAGGAGTAAATGGATGCTGTTTATGAAAGAAGTAGAGGTTGAAGGATAAAGATGTTGGCTTCTCTTAGTAGAGGATGAACCTGTAATACTTGCTCTAAGCACTTCTACTTTGCTGTGCAAAGTCAAGCCAATAGAGTTTGTCACATCAGATTAGTTCCAGGCCAGTCGCCGGTGTGGAGAGGGACTGGTATGTGATGTTTGGAAAACAAGAATGCACTTGGCCATTTGCACAATGCAGCACATAAGAGGAAAAACTCCTCTTTATTCTCATGGACAATCAGTTTACGCCCTGAAGTTCAAAGGGTAGAATGAAATTATCGTTCACACCACGCACTCCCTCAATTTGCTCCATAAGATATTGGAGAGGGGGTCTGCTGCATTTTTAAAAGGAGGGCTTATTCCTGAAATGTCACAGCTTCTGTTAGAACTTTTTTGATGTAGATTTAATTGTGCCTCTGTATTGTAATGTGAGAGAGTACATTCCCAGGTAATACCAGCATTGTATGTTTCCACCCAGTAATATGGAGCTGTACTGGCCACAGCATATGCTGTAAAGTACTGGCATCTTTTTGTTGCCTTGAATTTGTAGTTCACAGTGGCAAAAATCAAAGCTATATAAATAAATAAATTCTTATGCCTCAGTTGTGGCTGCTCTGCTCTCTGGCACGGGTGTAGGCGCTCTGGCAGGCAGCACATCGGGGAGAGTAGCTGGGTTGTAGCAATCCAGGCTGAAATGCTCTGAGGCACAGAAGCAGCTGTGGGCTGAAAGGATTAAGGAACCGTGAGGCTTGTAGGGAAGATGCACTGCATAGTGCTCCTGGTGCCTGCTTTTGGAAAGGAAGTTCTATTCTTGGCCCTCGAGTGCTTTGAGATCCGTGGCAGGAAAGAGGCATACCAAGCACTACTGTTGTGTCCCCTCCTGCCCGGTGCAGCCCAACTAAGTCTCACTAATGCGTGCAGCTTACCCTCTCTTTGTTGTTGTCCTGCTTTAAGGATCAGCTGCAGGGCCAAGATTTCAGCAAGTTCCAGCCACTGAAGAGTAGGCTGATGGAGACAGTGGAAGACATGCTGGCCAATGACATAGCGCAGCTCATGGTGCTGGTACGCCAAGAAGAGTCCCAAAGACCCATGCAGATGGTGAAGGGAGGTGCCTTTGAGGGCACCCAGCAGGGCCCGTTTGGCCACGGCTATGGTGAAGGAGCGGGAGAAGGAATCGATGACGCAGAGTGGGTGGTAGCCAGGGACAAGCCCATGTACGATGAGATCTTTTACACGCTGTCACCTGTCGATGGCAAAATAACCGGGGCCAACGCCAAGAAGGAAATGGTGAGATCCAAGCTTCCCAACACTGTGCTGGGCAAGATATGGAAACTGGCTGACATCGACAAGGATGGGATGCTGGATGATGAGGAATTTGCCTTGGCTAATCATCTCATTAAGGTCAAGTTGGAAGGTCATGAGCTCCCAAATGAACTTCCTTCCCATCTCCTCCCTCCATCCAAGAGGAAACTGACAGAGTGAAAGGAAGGTCACCAGAGAGAGATGGGGAGGAGGAGGACAGAGAGAAGACTCAGAGACATGTTTACTTAAATTATACCTTTAGATGTCAGGTCACCTTTGGATTTGTAATAATTGTAATGTATAAAAGAAAACAAAAAAGCCCAGCCCTTTCTCACAATAACATACAATTAGCTCTTCCTATGTAATCTCCCTGTTTCCTAATATGTAGTCTGTAATGATGAAGGAAAAAGAAATGCGTAGAGGCAGTGGCAGAAGTTAAGAGATGAGAGTGCGGGGGAAGAATCAAGGGGGCTGTGTCTTCTGGGGTTGGATTCAGCGTGAGTTATCTGAAGATAAATCTCCCAAGTCATTCCTGAACTTCATCCACGTTATTTCTGAGACACAGCCTAAGATTTGTGAAATACCTGGTGGGGAAGGAGCAACAATGCAAAAGTCCCTGAGCTGCAGGACAACATAAAAGAGCACATTGTAGTTAGTGACAAGCCCACACGATAAAAGTTCCCATGGACATGGTCCTATAGAGGTGACTGTAATCTGGATCCAGATCCACTGATGAATTTTCCAAATGGCCTCTGTCATTAGGGCGGGCTCAGCCAAAACAGCAGATCTGAACTGATGCAAACATCAGTGCTTTTGAAATCTAGGTCTGAATTTGGCAGCATGAATTCCTCTAACTACAGTAGGTAAGACCCAATGAGCTACTGAGCACCTGTATTTCCCATTGACACCAGTGGGACATTCCCATACAGAGCATGGCCAAGCAAATGATAATGCATCCCATAGGAAAACAAGAGAAGGAGAGTAGAAAGGCAGGGAAATAGCTGACTGTTTAGAGGCAAAGATCAGATGATTTAGACAGGAGGAATTTCCGCTTGCTTCATCATCTCCCAATAATCCATTAACTGTGTTATTTGGAACTGCTCAGTGTTTTCCCCATCTGAAAACTTGTTGGATGATGGATGGTCTTTATCATTCCTAGAAAGTGATACCTGTTATCACAAAAGTGTGTATAGTGAAAACTGCAAGTTCGTGTTCTTATCTTAAAATAAAATCCAGCACTGTCAGATGACTCATTCATTGTCCGGCGCACAGAGGCACCACATAGCAGTAGGAAGGGCTTGCTGTATTTTCTGTGTCGTTGTGAACAACAGCCTGGATACCAGTAATAAGCCCTTGCTTAGCCCTCAGACATCTACTGTTTATTCCATCCAGAACTTCCATCCTGAGCCAAGAAATGTTCAACTCTTCCTTTCATTCACTATGGAATTTCTGTATCTCTGGGATTTTACTTTGGTTAAGCTTTGTTTTCCTCCCTCACCTCTTTTGATTTTTCTCATTTGGGATGAGGTGTGGCTTTGCGTCTTGTTGTCACTTTATATATGCTGAGCTCCTACTGTGATGAAAAAAAGAGACAAGTATAACTTATTTTATATCTGTGTTGATATTATATAGAGAAATATATTCTATGTATGTAGGATGTGCTTACTGCAGTGCATTTATCTTTTAAAAAATAGTGCATTAACCTTTTTTGTACCCTGGTCCTAAAACATTATTAAAAAAGGTAAAAGTTTAAAAAAAAGGTCTATTTCTTTCTCTTCTCCTTTATATAGTAGAATAAAATATCAGTGGTTTCTTAAAGAGACCCTTGTTCCTGCATGGGGCTTCAACAGAAGCAAATCATCCCTAGTACAATCTGTACTGATGATGTATAGACCAAGATTACTGGACTTGTGGTTAACACCTACATTAAAATTTCCTGCTACTTTCTGGAAATCTAATTGTAATCACTGGTGTAGCTTCACTGGAGCCAGTTTAATTGCCCCCAAGATTAATTTGGCTCAATATATGGGCAGGGTAAAACCCAAATAAGAAACTCCTTTCTGCTTCTACTCAGCTCCGCTGTCATTTGCCACTAGCTTCACTGTAACCAAGTCATTTCTTTCCTGCCAGTCATGGAAGAAGTTGCCAAAGCTCCACAGTTTCACTGGGACTTGAAATGAACCAAACCACTTAGTCCCACAGCCTCTGCAATACGCTTCTGAGCTTGTGTTAATCAGCCACTGCAAGATGAGATACTCATTTGGGTGACCTTATTCCAGGCAATAATACAGTGAAGGCCCAACTGAGTGCTGGTGTAATGCTGGGAAGATGTGTAGAAAGTGGGCAGAACCAGTAACACAGCACAGATTTAGCATCTGGCCTTATATTTAAGGATATGTGGCAACATCGCTGATCTGAAGTGGGTTCCATCATATACAGCGTTTACACCATGAGCCAAGATAATTCCCAGCTCATATACCCACATGAGCTTAATGAGAATTAATATGAGTATAAGAGGCAGTGTAGCCACAGTAGCACGGGCAGCAGCAGCCTGGCTGAGCCAAGCCATGTACAAAGGCACCTGATCCTCATGGGTCCACACACAGCACAGAGGGCAATGCCTCTGCCACTGTCACTGCTATTTACAACCCAGCTAGTGCTCAGCAAGCAGATGCGAGGATGCGTGTGCACGCAAGCTTACACTCACACCCTTGGCTCATTGATATAGATATGTTGACTGATCAGCAACTAACACAAAGTTGCATGATCAAGGAGGCTGCATCTGCTTTCCCACAACATTATCAGGGTCGCTGTTTTGCCAGGAACCCCTTTTTTCTGACTACCTTGCATTGCAATCCATGTGTCTGCTGCATTTTGCTAGATTCCTCCAAGGAAGTTGCATTCACTTAACTCCAAACCCTGCGTTTCTGTTTGATTTCAACAGGACACAGGGCTGGTTAGGATAGTGTGGGAAGCATCTGGTATCACTCCTTAATGACATTCCCACCTCCATGCGGGGTTCACAGTTCTGGGAACTGGCTTGTGAGGAAATCTCTACTTGCAAGGGCTTGTAGTGAAGTTCTGACAAGTTAGCTTTTAGCAGCAAAACAAGTCCACCTTCCCAACACCAAAGAACTGGGTGTTCATCAACCTGTCTTCCAATACAAAGTTTCCACTGGCAAGACTACTGAAGATAGCCATAAATGTCACTCAAGTGGGGGCTGCAGGGCTCCAGGAATACAAAGCCTTCCTGTATGGATCAACTCAGGCCATCCTTGTATGAACTGAAACATCATTAGCAGCTTCAGTTGTTGATCTGTCCATATGAAATGAGTCAGTGGATTCAGTCCACATGACAAAAACCCGTCACACCACACTTAGCCTTGCACTTAGCAGTTTCAGAAACAGAGGTCAAGAATTGAACAGACAGCAGAGGGAGATTTTTGTCCCCGCATGAGAGCTGCTGTTCTCCCTCTATCCATACTGAATGGCTATACAGAGTAGTTCCGTCTCCATGCTTGCCAATCAGATAGCTTTTGCACACCCGTAAAAATGCCAACAGGAGGGGTCCAATGAACAGCTCTACCAACTGTTACAAGACTGCTTCTACCAACATACTCAGCCACTCTTCTCTCTGCTCCTGTCTTGCCCTCCCCAAACAGACAGAGGAACTTCCACAGTCAGAAGAAGGGCACGATAAGATGCCATTTGGCTCAAATCCTATTGCTCTGATTTTCAGCTATTGTTGTAATGGATTTTCTGCTACTTTCATTCCTCCCTGGAAAAAATCTCAGGGGGGACTCTTTGTCCCTATGTATGAAAACTGCATTTTAGAGTTGCTGCATGTATCCCTAGGGTAAGCCAGTCGTTTCATACAGACAACACTACCCAACAAGTTGTTTCAGGGAAGAGAACATAAATGCATGGAAGAAATTGTTCCATTGAAACTTTAGGGGGCATTTAGGTTGGCAGAATGCAGTTAATTAGCCAATCTGGAACTTAGCCAGGACAGTGAGGTCAACTTTCCTACACTGCAGTGGTATCTTTAATGAAACAGACAGTCAGAACTTGTTTTACGTCATTTTAATAACTGGAGTAAACTGGATACAACCAGGGAATTCAGAGTTAAAGGTGAAAACTGTCCTCTGGTAACTACCTTCTGATGCCTAAATATTTTGCCTTTGTACAGAGAACAATTAGAGCTGTGATGAAAGTATCAGAGGGGTAGCCATGTTAGTCTGAATCTGCATAAACAACGAGAAGTCCTGTGGCACAGTACAGACTAACAGATTTATTAGAGCATAATCTTTCATGGGCAAAGACCCACTTTGTCAGATGCAACAGATGCACCCACACTCAGGGTACGTCTAGACGACAGGCTTTTGTCGACAGAAGTTTTGTCGACAGATACTGTCGACAGAGCTTCTGTCAACAAAGAGCGTCTAGACTACAGCCAGTTCTGTCGACAAAGCAAGCTGCTTTGTCAACATGACAGTGTAGATGCAAAGGACAGTGTAGATGCAATAACACCTTCTGTCGACAGAACTCTGTTGACAAAAGGCGTTATTCCTTATAGAATGAGGTTTACAGCCATCGACAAAACTGCTGAGTTCTGTCGACGTTATGTCGACAGAACTCGGCGGCAGCATAGACGCAGGTAGTTTTGTCAACAAAAGTCCACTTATGTCGACAAAACCCTGTAGTCTAGACACACCCAGCTCTCCATCAGAGCTGTGGGTGACCTGACCTTACATTGACCATGATCTGTACCACCCACAACACATCACTGGGGGAATACCTGATGGAGTGCCTGCAGAACCATCTAGGAGAATGCTGCACATTCTGCAGCTTATTCAGTTTCCTCCTCCACTATTATTTCCTTTATTATGGTGCTAGCTTTGGGAAGGGGGATTATGGGGCTATTCATCTCAGCTTTGGCAAGGCAAGAGGACATTGCCATTTCAGCCCATCTGCAAATTTTGCCTAGCCTCCGGCTTGCTTGACTTTGCTAAGTTTGAGAGTGTGCCTGAGTCTGAAAAGAATTGGGAGGAGGAGGAGGACACCGAATTGTTACACAGGAATGGCCGGACAGTAACCTTTTGTGTTATTTTTTATGAAGCTTTCCTAATACAGCATGCATCTGTTATTTTTGGTCTATCCCTTTCCTTCCTTGTGTTTCCAAACCACTCCCTCCCTCCCTCCCTCCCTTCCCAAAGCTGGACTGGGGATGTTCAGATCAGAGTTTAGTATGAAACTCTACACACAGAGAAAGTTCAAGGCTAATGTGGGCAATTCACTCAGCATGTCATTTTCCTATTTCTGCAAGCAGGTCAAATGGAACAATGAATCTGATATTTCAAATGAGTCAGTGTGCCTAAAACATCTAATCTCTGCCGAGAGGAAAGGAAATCCACGTGAATGTGACCTGCTTGCTCTAGGCTTTTGTGACGGACCGGGCCGTGTCTGGGCACAGCTGAGGGCGTCCGCTCAGGGCGAATCGCTCAACTTCGGGGCTCCTTACAGCCCCCAGACTGGTGACCTCTCCAAACAGGCCACAAACCAGTCCCACAGAGCGCTTCAGCAACCTGCCTGAAGCCTCCCGAGCAAAACCCCTCCGACACCCCAGCAATATCCGTGCCTCAGATGGCCCCGGGCCTATACACAGGTGGGGGGGTCCTAGCACCCAATCCCACCTACCCCGAACAAGTTCTGTCCGGTTCCAAGAAACCAGCCACAGATCCCTGGTCAATTTACCCTCTGGACCTTACCCACAAATCACGCTGGGCCAATCCTTTAGCATCTAACAACTAAAGGTTTATTAACATAAGAAAGAAAAGCATGAGAGTAAGGTTATTAAAGTACAGTACGTTACATGCACCGAATCTCCCAGTTCTCGATGCAGGCTCTAGCAGAGATGTTACAGCTGCTGGTTTAAAAGTTCTTATTGCACATCCTAAGATCAAGATGGGTTCACAGGTCTTCCGGGCTCTTCGATCCCTGCAATGCTGCCTCTGGGATGAAGTGCTGAGCTGAGAACAAAATGGCATTGACCACATGGCCTCTTTATACCTCCTTCCTGGCCTCTTCTAGTATGTAGCAGAGTCACCTGGTCAGAGGCCAATCTCTATGTTCCCTGCTGGCTGCTCTCAGGTGACAGCCCCCATTCTTTGGGTGTGTCCTTGGCCCATTGAGAGCCATTGTTCCACAGGCTCGGCCCTGCCCAATGCTTAACCACATGCAGGGAAATCGTCAGTGTCCATACAAGTACATGCTAATAATTGCACACACAGACATTATACAAACACATGAACAGCGTACATAGGATTATTAGATAATAAGCTTCTATTCAATACCTCACATGGCCCCCTTCTATACCCTTTTTGGGGCCAACACCCCCACCTATGGGTGCATCAGTGATCTGGCTGCTCCCCTCAAGATCCAGCAACGTGACAGCTTTGTTGTATAATATTGGTCCCTCGATGTCATA